TCAATTCACAGGTCCTCAAGGCATAAGGATGTTCACATAGTTATCCATGGACAAAACGTTTGCTATTTGGTGGAGTATGGACTTTAGGGTTAGAAGGGAAACCTCACAAAATTCAGAAACTGCTGTTCTGGTACTCCTCCTTTAAATAAATGCTACTTGTCAGTTTGTAATCTTCCACATGAGATGTTCTTGGAGGACTGTGGTTTTCTTTTCTGGATAAAGGATCAATAGGCATGACTTTAAAAACCCCAATAGTGTGTAAAAATGGGAGTCAGTGCACTGTGACCTGGTTGCCAAAAGTTATGGCGGGGAGGAAGTATAGAGAAAGGGGATTTTTTTGTTTGTTTGCTAAAAAAAAAACCTTGTTCACTGTGGTAAAGGTAAAGGTAAAGGTTCCCTTGCTCGAAAGCCAGTCGAGTCCGACTCTAGGGTTGCGGTGTTCATCTCCGTTTCAAAGCCGAAGAGCCAGCGCTGTCCGAAGACATTTCCGTGGTCATGTGGCCGGCATGACTAAACACCAAGGCGCATGGAACGCTGTTACCTTCCCACCGAAGTGGTACCTGTTTATCTACTTGCAATTTCTTGCTTTCGAACTGCTGTGGAGGTCTATATAAAAGCTGTGGGGGGTAAATTTTGCAGTTAATGGAAATGTGAGATATAGTCCAAATCATTTGTCTGCTTTCCCCCTTTTACTTGAATATTTAAAAAAGAAGGAATATACAAAACTTGTGTCAGTACCTTTAGCTTCAGGGAAGGGAGAAACCCAAGACATCCATCCTGAATGAAGCCTTTTGTTTAACTGAACTGTAACATTGATACTCTCAGCCCATCTTGAGATAAGCAGCTACATTTCCAGGCAAGAACATTATTTCGTCTGGCCTCACCCAGAAGGGTGGAGACTCCTTTTGGCAGGCTGTCTTTTGGTAGTGGAAGAGAACACGCCCTTGTGAGAAGTATATATGAACCATGCTATGGTGCAAAGATTTGCTTCTTCCTTCTTGACCAAGCCGAGTAACAGTTTAGGTCTGAACCTGCCTGACTTCCAGCCATGGCTACAAGCTATTACCAGAGTTCATCTGCTTCCTATGGTGGTGGTTTAGGTGGTGGGAGTTGCGGCTCCAGCCGCATGTCCTCTGTCCGAGTGGGATCACCCAGCATTGGGGGAGCTGGTGGTGGCCGCATGTCTGTCTCTTCTGCCAGGTTTGTATCTTCTGGGGCAGGAGGAGGATATGGAGGTGGAATAGGAGGTGGCTTTGGCAGCGGTTCCTGTGGAGCAGGAGGTGGCTTTGGTGGTGGTTCTTATGGACTGGTTTCTGGTGGAGGTGGTGGCTATGGTAGCTGTTTTGGTGGAGGTCTTGGAGGTGGTTATGCTGGAGGCTATGGTGGTGGCTATGGTGGTGGTTTTGACTTTGTGGCTGGTGGTGATGGAGCCCTTCTTACTGGAAATGAGAAGGTCACCATGCAGAATCTCAATGACCGCCTGGCTAACTACCTGGAAAAGGTGAGGGCTCTGGAAGAAGCCAACACTGAACTGGAGATCAAGATCCGAGACTGGCATCAGAAACAAGCTCCTACCAGCCCAGCCAAGGACTACAGCCACTACCACAAGATTATTGAGGACATTCGTGACAAGGTAGGATTGATGATGCTGGATCACTTTCTCAAATGAACAACTTGCCAATGGTTTTCTTAAACTGGGGAAATGTAATGATTAAATGCTAAATGTTTCAAGCCTTACTGTGAAAACACTAAAAAAAGAGCACATAGGAAGGAAAATAAGTATAACTGACTTTTTAAAAGGAGAAAAACTTGGAGGTAGCAAAAAAGTGATAAAAATAGCTAAAAATAAGGTGCAGTATGATGTAATATAGGCACACGATCACACCATTAGCCACGCTAAAGAGATGGAAGATAGGTGGAGTTTCTGGGCACGATCTCACCGGCACATCTGGGAAGCGTAGTGCTCCCGTGGCTCAACCGAGGCTTCCCGCCGAAGATGCGCAGCAAAAAACTAGTACCTCGGAGGTACTAGTTTCCGGAAACCACGGGGCAAGGGCAGGCGGCTGATTGTGTTTCCGGTGGAATCCCGTGGCATCCAGCGCCCGCCCACGTCCCGTCGCAAAGAAGGTGTTTTTTTTTAAGTCTCCACAGAATGTGCACAAGCACCCAACGGCGCAAGCACATACTTGTGTTAAAAAAAACAACCCAGTTTGCCACAGCAGCGCCGCTTCTTTGCCGCGCCGTCTGATTGGCACCTCCCCGGGCTCCCACCACCACCACCAGACGTCGGCGGGACGTGTGAGCCCGCGGCCGCGTGGTAGTTCGCTCCGGGGCAAACAGCCACGCCTCCCCCCTGCAATATCCGGCCCGTGTGACTGGGGCCACTTGTAAGATACTTACAGCATGGAAAGGCAAACACTGTGGATCTTAATTCAGTTGTGGCAGCAGCTATTCAATGCCTATTTATTTGAGTAGCCTGGAGATAAGTAATAGAGCATCCTTCATCTTCCTAGCAGGAAACATAAAGCTGCTGGTGAAAAGGACAGGAGCAGGGCTAATTTTTTTAAAAGTTGACAAACCAATTTGTTGTACTTATAGCAGTTATTTGAGATTTACTTTCCATCCTATCCCAGAGGCTCAGGATATGTGAATAACCCCATTTTGATCAAACTCTCACTCCTGGAAATCTGTCATGAGTTCCAGATGTGTGCAGGCTTGATTGTGATTTCTTTGAGATGAAGGAAAGACAATTCTGTACAAGTTCAGCAAGGCAGCTACATCGCTACTTGATAAAATGCATCAGAAACTGGTTGTAGGATTTAGGGCAGATTTGCACATGCTCCTACATCACTCGATATCTCACGGCTAGATGACCAGTTGCTCAGTTATGCACAGCTATGTGCATGAATTGCCAACATTGAGAAGCCATGGGCAAGGTGAAATTTACCTCTAGCATGTTACCCACCCTGAGCCCACTTGTGGGAAGGGTGGGCTATAAATGTGAATGAATGAATGAATAAATAAATAAATAGCATTGGATCCACGGTGGCACAATGACACATTCAATTAATTCACAAGCTCTTGCAGCCATCAAATAATAAATGTGTGTGTATAAATACATGCATTCTGGTGTGTGTATACTTTTACAGTAAACTCCTTCATGGTAATGAACTAATCTATTAGGTTTTTATTTGCTCACCACAAGTAAAAAACAACTAGAATAACAACTGGTTAATCTAGTCTGCTATAGTTAGACCACTGGTACATACTTACAGCTTACCTACTCAAACTTGCTCCACATTAGGAATCATTCCCCAAATATAACAGTGATTAATAATCCTTTTTATATCATCCACCTCTGTGCACTTCTGAGAAATTACAACTGTTATTCTCCAAGATAGTGCTGTGAATGAAACCCCACTAAGAATGAAACCCCACAAACGTTTTACTTCCATTTCCAAATGGGGGAGACTAAGTTCTTATGACAAAAATGAAGCCCTCCTAAACTAATGTAACCAAATGCTTTTTTTCAATAGATTTTCTACTTTAACCTCTACTATTATTCTACCTGAAAATTTTGCTAGAAAACGTTCCTTCTGAGTTTGCTAAGGAAAAAGTGGCAGGTAGTTCTTGAAGGTGCTTTACAGATGGGACACCCTGCTGTGGGAGGGGATGGGGTCCTTTGGCTGCCTCTTCTAGCTCAATGGTTCTATGACAAAAACCTGGCGATGAGCAAAGAAATGTCACACCATCGTGACTCACTTGAAGCTAAAATTAGCACATGACCGAGAATGAATTTAGGTTAGCTAATTTCTCCTCAGATAAATTCTCCATAATTGTTTGAAGATGCATAATTTAATTCCCGATTCATTCCTTCTTGGCCTCTGAATTACAACCACAAATCTGGATTAACTGTCATGCAATGCAATCTTAAACAGAACTTCACCCTTCTAAATGTATTCAAATCAGTGGTCTTAGAAAGATGTAATTCTGTTTAGGACCACACTGTTGATCTCTTTATACCTTCCATAAACTGAATTTCTCTCCCCCCCCCCATATTTCAACAATGTATTTGCACACAACAATATCTTGCCAACATTAATTAACATTTTTTGTCTTCTTGCCCCCATGGATAGATTCTTCAAGCCACCACTGACAATTCAAGGGTTGTCTTGGAGATTGACAATGCCAGGCTGGCTGCTGATGACTTCAGACTGAAGTAAGTTCTTCCCTTGCTTATTTCCCATTCTTCAAGGCCTCTGTCTTACTGAATGAGTAATCCAGATCTTAATAACCATCTGGGACTCTCAACTTGAGGCTCTGGAGTACTGGAATTTACAATTTGTATTGTAATTCTGATGTATTTTAATTGGTTTTAACTGTTTTTGCATTGTTACTTGGTATGATGGAACCTGCCCTGAGCCTGCTATGTGGAGAGTGTGGGATATAAATAAAATAAAATGAATAAAGAAAAGGACAAAGAGAAAACTAAAGGGATTGGGCAAGGAGAAACAAGTAAAAATGAACTGTGGTGGAAGGGTTCTTTATTATGTCAAGGAAGAAAAATAATCTACAGGAGGGAGGAAAGTCTCAGATTAAGAAATATGGTCAAAGTTTATATTTATGCACTCATCATTTTTCTCACTTCTGAGTTTCTGATTTTTTGCTTCCCTTTAAAACTGTCAGGTATGAGAATGAGCTGCACCTCCGCCAGAGTGTCGAGGCTGACATCAATGGTCTGCGCAGAGTCCTGGATGAGCTGACTCTGTCCAAATCTGACATGGAGATGCAGATCGAAGGGCAGAAGGAAGACCTGGCCTACCTCAAAAAGAACCACGAGGAGGTGAGACAGAGAAGCAGAGACAGGACCAGCCACACTCACATTTAGAATCTGGTTTTGGGATAACAATCATGGGAAATTAAACAAACATCTCTGGCTCTGTACATTAAAGAGTGAGACAAAATAAATAGTCCCCATAGAAGTAAATACTTTGTAGTCCACCAGCACTAACTGCCAAGTCACCACATCATGAGCAGACGTTTAATTCTGACGATCAGCAGGGGAACCTCCAGTTTATTCTTCCACTGTAGTAACTATCTTTTTAAAAGCTGCTGGTAAATACCCGAAGGCAAAGAATGTCCCCATCAAAATGGTGCCAGTCAGAATCTTGAGATGAAATGTATCATTGGTACCATTGGCTGGAGTGGAAGGATTGCTACAAGCATATAGTCTACCTACTTCTCATCGTATGTAAAACCCACTTATTGAGCAGTAGGAATGAAAAAAGTCATATCTGCTTGGCTTGAGTTGGCTACCAATCCCAGCCAGAATCTGTGGACCCCTGTAGAGCCTTTGCTTATGTGAATATGACAGTTCCTTCAAGTTCACCAATTGCTGAGAAATGCAACTTGTAGCCATTTCTGGTATTCGCATTATCTCAATTTTCATCCCTCCAGTTAATGAAAGAATACAGCACTCAGTTGACCGGAAATGTCAGTGTCGAGATGGATGCTGCCCCTGGAATCGACCTCACCAAAATTTTGGCAGACATGAGAGAACAATATGAACAACTGGCTGACAAGAATCGCAGAGATTGTGAGGCCTGGTTCTTTGCCAAGGTGAGTCTTCCTTTCTTGATGATCATGTTTTGCTCTACTGCAATCTAAACCCCATTGGATTCTTATTGGTTGTCCCAGCCAATGATCACATTGACTTGCACTGTGTAAGCCGCCTTAAGTCTCAGTGAGAAAGGCAGACTATTAATAATGTAAATAAGAACACAAAAATATCTAGTCTTCAAACATATAACAGTTTTGTACCTATTTATGGCCCCGGTCACACGGAGCATTAGCCACGCTAGAGAGATGGAAGATAGGTGGATTTTCCAGGCGCGATCTCACTGCCACATCTGGGAAGCATAGCGCTCCCGTGGTTCAACCGAGGCTTCCCGCCGAAGATGCGCAGCAAAAAATTAGTACCTCGGAGGGAAGGGCGGGCGTCTGATCGCATTTCCAGTGGCATCTGGCGGCCGCCCATGCCCCATTGCGAAAAGGTTTTTTCCGCCAAAGTCTCCAGGGATACGCACAAGCACCCAACGGGGCATGCGCATACTTCAGGTTAAAAAAAACAAAACACAACCCCGTTTGCCTTTGGCACGTCATGTGATCGGCACCTCCCCCCTAACCACGGGACCTCGACGGGACCGTGAGGGGACGCCTGATCATGCAGTTGCACGTTATTTTGCTGTGGGGCAAACAGCCACGCCCCCCCCACGCTATCCGGCCCGTGTGACCAGGGCCTAACTGTAATATCTTCTCAACAATCCTAGAGATTGATAACAATTGAGAATTCTCTGTTAGGGATCTCTAACCCCACCTCACTGAATTCCAGAGTTCCCTTAAAAAAAGGAATGATTTTAAAATATTTTAAGTGTGTAAATGTGTATTTGATAACCACATCTTTATAACAAGATTTCCCTTTCTTTGCTAACTATAGATCTGTGACATTTTCCATCATGTTTACTTTGTTTTTAACCCCTTTAATAATAAAATAAACCCTGTCCCCTCTAGACTGAAGAACTGAACCGTGAAGTCGCCACTAACACAGAACAAATACAGACCAGCAAGAGCGAGATGTCAGAACTGAGGCGTACAATACAGAGTCTGGAGATTGAGTTACAGTCGCATCTTAGCATGGTATGTTGCTACCTCTTTGAACTGAATCAATGTGTGGATAAAGGACATAAGAACAAAAACGCTGGGGTATGACCTATGGCACAGTTAGTTAACATTTCACCTGCCAGCTAGACAACATCAAAGACGCTGCTTACCATGGCAAGATGGCCTTAGATAATCCAGGCTTTTCAAATTTTCACGAAAGCTAGAAAGAAGAAAGACAGCTGATTCTTGGTGTTCTCAGGTAGAGATTAGGTCCTGTGGTGCACAGGGATTTGAATCATTCAGACTCCAAGACTCTCCAATTTTTCTCCCTCATTAGAAAGCTGGCTTGGAAAGTAGCTTGGCAGAGACAGAAGGCCGGTACTGTGCTCAGCTGGCTCAAATACAGAATATGATCACCAGCGTAGAGGAGCAGCTGGCTGAGCTGAGAAGTGACATGGAGCGCCAGAACTATGAGTACAAGATGCTCATGGACATCAAGACCCGCCTGGAGCAGGAGATTGGCACCTATCGCAACCTGTTGGAGGGCCAGGACTCCAAGTACGTACCTGGGCAACAATAACGAAGGGCAGCGATAAAAACAGGACAGCAGATCAACTGCTGAACTAATCTGAAATGCTGCTGATAATCTATGTATCTGTTTATCTATTTAGAATATTATGTATTTATTTAGAATATTTCTATACTGCCTTGCCAGAGCCCTGTTCCAAGCAGTTTATGATTAAAACAACCTCAGGTACATAAATACAGCATATAACTGTCCAGACCTCAGACAAGAAGCAGACCGTAAAACAGCTGGAAACGTAAAAACCTAAATGAAAAGCCTGGGTAAAATGAATGCTTTGGCCGGGCACCTAAAGCAGGCATTATATGAGCCTCAAGGCATGGTGCCACTACAGAAAATGCCCCGTCTAGTTGCCCTGCCTTACCTCTGCAAATAAGAAACTCTTAATAATAGAACCCATTGATGTTTTAAGGCTTCACCATGTGGCATGAGAACTATACTTCATTGACAGATGTGGTATATTTTTATAATCTCTTTTTAAATGAAATTCCTCTGCAGACCAGATATCTGCCTGCAGCATCCTCCTTCGTGAGTCAGATTTGACTGTGCCATCACAAACGCCATTTTTGAACAATTAATGAATTTTCATCTTATAATAATGAATGAATTTTCAGCTTATAATAATGCCAAGTTGGTGCACATGGACTGGTAGCGAAACATACAAACCACAACTGATTTATGGCAACCCAGTAGAGTTTTCAAGGCAAGAGATGAGCAGAGGTCATTTGCCATTGCCTTGCATATGTGCAGCAACCCTACCTCCCTTGGTGGTTTCCTAACCTGCTACTAACCAGGGCCGACCCTGCTTAGCTTCTGAGATCTGACAACAAAAAGATTGAACTAGCCCCCAGAGCACAGGAGTGGATATGTGTATCAGTAAAACACTACCAAAAAAGGATCTTAATGCAATAATACAGATTGCTCTCCCCCCATGTTTTATAAATAGGCACATACATATGACCAACTGGAAGGGGAACAATCCAATGTACCAAAATAAATTAAAACTGTGGCAAATTGCCTACGTCCAGGTCTGGAATTTATTAAGAAACTCTTCTTGTTAACACTGCAATTGAGGGAGGAAATGTGATTCAGAGGGGAAAACATATGGAAAAATAAAAGAACCGAAATGGGAAAGTCCCCTCAACTCTAGGCAGAGGTTCGACATCTTCCTCGTCACCACTGCTACATCCTCTTATTGTTACTTACTCAATTTTTTCTCTCTTTTAGAATCCCCGGATGGTCTCCAAAGGATGGTAAGGAAGAATTCTACTTAGATATAACAGGAGTCTGGGCTGGCTCCTTATTGAAAACACTATCTTTATGACAAGGGCAAGATTTTAAAATCTTTCCCAGAGAGCTAATCACATTACACACTCTAAGGAGAGAACAAGCAGTTTAGGAAATTATCTGGATAAATAAATCTCATTGTTCTAGCTGGTGTAGATTGTCAAAGTAACATTCAGAAAACTGAAAAAAGATATAGAACATCTTCTTGCTTAGTTCCCTTATGCTAGCAAACTAAATGAATACTTAAAGTCTAGTACCGTGCCTCACCCACTTTTTTTTCTGTAGTCCAGAGTACTGGTTTCAACTCCTAGAAATCAGTAGCTGACACATAGCGTACAAACAAGGCACAAATTCAATCAGGGCTGGCCCAAAGGTTTTGAAGACCTTTGGATAGTTTCATCTCCCATATCAATATAGAGAAAAACAAGAAGTTTAGCGATAAGAGGTTAGTTTTTAATAGAGAAAATAAACTCATCTCTGCCTAATTTGGCACCCCTTAAAAGCCTGGCCCCCCCTCATTTACCTATATGGGTGACACGGCCCTTGAATTCAACACACATCCCCCACTGGCATGCAGGAGCAGAAACCATTAAACAAGCACAGTTTAAAGACACAGAAAGGGTGTTTTATAAAATGATTTTCTCTCAGTTTGGAGAGGTGGGCCGGGATCAGAGCAGCAGTCGACACCTAAATGGAAAATTATAAATTGAAAAATGGACAAGCTGGCATGCTGTTAATGGAATCAGAAACTGTAGGTTTGTGTGCCTTCACTGTATAGGTTTGTGTGCCTTCACTGCTCAGCAATGAGATTCAGTAGCTTCCCATTCTATCTAATAGTTCTGTTCCTTCTCCTTTTATCCCAGCATCCCACGGTGGAGGAAGCAACATCACCTACGGTAGCTCTACTAGCTACAGTAGTGGCGGCGGCGGCAGTGGCAGCATCACTTCCAGCAGCAAAGTGCGTACTGGCAGCGAAGAAAGGAGATACTGAATCTTCTGAAAACTGCATCCATCCACCTCATGGAAAACAAGCATTTTCAGCATGCACACAGATGGCTCAAAGAAACATCCCTCCTGTCGCCCAAGAGTGCCTTGGCTTGGTCACTTCCTTAATGGCACTTTCTCACTTGCTTTGTCTTGCTCATCAAAGTAGATGCACTGCTGTGTAATGCTTTTGATAATAAAGTTTCCTTTCAGGCTTTTTTTGCAGATAAATACTTGTCAGACCTTTCTATTATTTGTTCCACTAACCAGAATTATTTTTCAAGGCGAGCCACCCATTTTGTCAAACATCCAATGCAATCCAAGCATGAGAGCAGTTCAATGGATGGCGGCATGGGGGTCACCAAGAGAACTTTCTTTATACTCTGGCATTCTAGAAACTGGGACATAATAGTTCCCTGTCATCTTATGGAGCCAATTTCTTTAGAGCTCCTCTTCCAGCTGATAGACTTACACCACGCACCAAACATCATGTTAGCAAAATTCTCCCCAAACTTCATGACCGGTCTGCTGATATCTTTAGAGCATCCCAAGCAAGCCAATAATAAGGGGGCAAGGAGATGGTCATCCCTTGGCAAGCTATTCCATAAACGTGGCTCTGCAGCAGAATAGGGTTGCCAAGTCGTTGCAGTCGCCGCAGAGGGGGACTCCTAGGCGGCGACTGGAGCGCGCACGTGCGCCGTACGCACGTCACCCGGAAGTGACGTTAGGATGCCGGGCACGCTGGGGGCAGGGCCACGACCCTCGGAGGGAAAACCATAGAGTTTTCCCTCCGATGGTCATGGCCCCACCCCCAGCATGCTCAGCGTCCTAACGTCACTTCCTGGTGATGCGCACATCGGGGCGGGGCCGATCCGCGGGGCCGATCGGGGCACATCGGGGCGGGGCCGATCCCCAGGGGCCGATCCGCCGGTGACGGGGAACGGGCCATTGGGGTGGGGGTTTCCCCACCCCCCGGGGGGACTTGGCAGCCCTAATAACCCACCCATTGAACTTTGGATCGTACAGATATACACTGAAGTGCTTCCAAGGAGGAGTAGTTAACATCACAGAAAGCAGAAATAAAACTCAATAAAATTCAAGATCTCAGTGACCCACCAAAAAACTGGAATGAAACTAACAAAATGAGCCAGTTTGGTGTAGTGGTTAAGTGCGCGGACTCTAATCTGGGAGAACCGGGTTTGATTCCCCACTCCCCCACTTGCAGCTGCTGGATGACCTTGGGCAAGCCATAGTTCTGATAAGAGCTGTTCTTGAAAAAGAGCAGTTTCTGTCAAGAGTTCTCTCAGCCCCACCTACCTCACAGGGTGTCTGTTGTGGGGAGGGGAAGGGAAGGGAGTTTGTAAGCCGCTCTGAGACACCTTTGGGTAGTGAAGGGCAGGCTATAAATCCAATCTCTTCTCTTCTTCTTCTCTTAAACAGAGGCAAATGCAATGTTCTGAATTTAAGGGGGGAATGATCAAATGTGTGGGATGGGGAATAGCTAGCATGCAATTAGTGTATGTGAAAAGGACGTACGGATTATAGCACATAAGGGGTTGGCCTGGATCAGTCCATCTCTAATCCAACATCCTGTTACGCAAAGTGGCCAGCCAGAAGACCCTGCAAGAAGGGCCTACAAGCAAGGCCAGAGGCCAAAGCTTCTCCCCAGTTATTGCTGTGGCTGTGTTACTGAAGAAATTAATGCCATCAATATTCAGCAAGTTGCTAATCTCTTACCTAGCCAGTAAGAAGCTTTCACCCACTAGGCAGAACTTCAGAGCCAACCTAAATGGGATGGTGGCCACAGGTGCTGAAACAGCCCCACTATTTGGGAGTTTGAAGAGGTGGGTGGGGAGCTCCTGGGGCCACATGCCAAATTTGGATAGGGGCCTTGCGGCAATTTTTAAACAACTACAACTGCTTCTAAAGTGTCATTGACAGACACTGTTATGTTTAGTTTGGCCTCAAAAGAAATGAGTCATTGCAGGGAAAAGAGGAGGAAAGGGTTCCGCTGACAGCAACAGTCACGTCAAGATCCAGCCACAGCAGTAGGGTGACCAGATGTCCTCTTTTTTAAAAAATGTCCATCCTGTTTTAGGCTCTTAAATAGGCTTGCCAAGTCCCCACCGCTGGCGGATCGGGCCCTGGGGAGAACCCCACACCCAAAGTAGGTGATGTGCATGTCACCCAGAAGTGATGCGACCACGCTGGGCACGCTGGGGGCGGGGCCACGGTCCATAGTTTTCCCTCGGATGGTCGTGGCTTTGCCCCCAGCGTGCCCGGTGTGGTCGCGTCCCTTCCGGGTGATGTGGTTGCGGCGCGCATGCGCTTTGCAAACGCACACGCACTCCAGGAGCAAGCCGGAGTCCCCCGCTGCAGCAACAGGTAGGACTTGGCAACCCTACGCTTAAAAAAAAAAAAATGACTGTTGTGTCCACTGGCCACCACCAGGGGCCAGCGACTACCCAGAGCTTGACCCTGGGTGAACAATGGGAACTGGGCTCCTGGTCTCTCCAACAGGGAGCCAATAGAAACATGGGAAGGAAATTCAAACCCCCCAATGGGATCCAGGGGTGTCCCCTGGATATGTATATAGTTGGCCTCCTGGCCGTTTGTCTTTGTCTTAGTTGTGTAAGAGTCAAGCGTGCAGCATGTTATGGGAGCTGCAACGGCCTAGCCATGCGGTCAACCCATACACAATAGTGGTGACGAGGATGGGATTTAGCGCTAGGCCAACCCAGCTGAACGGCGTCTGAAGGCACACACCCGGAGAAACCGATTCCGCCCAGCAGGCCCAAGCGTCGGACCCAGCACGAGCCCCATCTAGCGCGATGGCAACTGTCTCTGGGCCAGGCCTGCTGTCGCCCTTCGATATGGTGCGCCCGCAAAACTGGGGTGCCTGGGTACGAGGCGTGAAGTCTGCGCTCGCTTTCTACAAGGTGACGGATGATGCACAAAAGAGAGGGTTCCTCCTCACCTCCTGCGGAACCAACGTCATGGTCCTAGCCGAAGGACTACTTTCCCCGAAGGACCTGGATGCCTGCTCGTTTGACCAGATCGTCAAGGCAGTCCAAGACCACTATGCTCCGAAGCCATTGGAGATGACCTGTCGGTTGGCGTTCTATGACCGGAGCCAACTCACCTGGGAATCGGCCGTGGATTTCCTCGCGGAGCTCCGTCGCTTGGCCGCAGACTGCAACTTCGGGGTGCCCTCCGTGACTGTTTCATCACAGGATTGAGGGAGCAGAAGCTCAAGCAGCGGATTGCGGAGAAGGAGGACGTCACCCTCGCCTCGGCCCTACCTTCCGCCATCGCCTTGGGAGCAACTGCACCCCACCACAACCGCAGCCCAGCAGGTTGAGCCTAATGACCCCGAGGAGCAAGAGGCCCACCGGGCCTACACAGGCCCCAAGCGTCGTTCTCCCGGCCGGGAACGACCCCGTGCTGCAGCTGCCAACTGCGCAAGCTGCAGCGAGAACCACGAGAGAAAGTCGTGCCGGTTCCGCGATGCAACCTGCCGGAACTGTGGGCGGACTGGCCACATCGCCCGCGTGTGCTGCTCCAAGGCCAAGAAGGCACTGCCATCGTGTCACAGAGCAGAAGCACACTGCAAGGAGGCCGCCGGGGCCGAAGAACTCTACCACCTCACGCAGACAGCAGAAAAGGTACTGCAACTCCCTTGGCAAATCTTCCGCCACTAAAATTCTTGCCACCGTAACGATTGAGGGGTCCCCTTGCACCATGGAAATAGACTCGGGCTCGGCGACCTCTATAATTTCCGAGGCCACGCTGAAGCACTTATGCCCAAAGGGGGGGGCCCGATTGCAAGCATCCCCCATCACGCTCATGGACTTTCAGCAGAACCGGGTGCCGATTAAAGGGGTCGGGACGTTTTGGGTGCAGTACGGGAAGTTCCAAAGCCGGCTAGACTTAATCGTGGTGAAGGGAGACCTGGTCAGCTTGTTGGGTCACGCCTGGTTTGAGCCCCTGGGGATTTCAGTAGAGGGCATCCAGCTTTGCTCGGCCCAGGACTTCAAAGAGATATGTGGAGAGTTTCCCGCCGTTTTCAACAACTCCCTGGGCAAATATACTGGCCCCCCGGTGTCCCTATGGCTAGACCCCAAGGTGGGCCCCATTCGCATGCACGCCAGGACGGTTCCACTGTCGGTCAAGCCTAAAATTGACGCAGAACTAGATCGCCTTGTAGCCCAGGGCGTCCTGGAACCGTCCTAGACCCCCCCACCCTCCCATGGGAAGGTGGCCCAGCTGCAACTAGCCGTCTCAAAGCCCCCCCATCCCTCCAAGCCCAAGATCGGGGGAGTTGCAAATGCATTTGGGGTGGGGGGAGTCCCAGGGCGGCGGTAGAGGATGGGAAGGGCGGGGAACGCAAGCTGGCAAAGGGGGAATCCAAAAAAACCCGGGGGGAGGTGGGGGTGGGGGGTTAAGAATTGTTCAGAAGTAGGGCTGGGTCCAAAAGCAGGCTGAGGACGTAGGCAGGGCATGCTGCCTCCTCTAGAGCAAGCAAGAAAACCCCCATCCTGGGAGGACCCCTGTCAAATAGTACCCCCATCTGGATTCAGCATTAGTTTCTTCACTCCGTTTAGTGTAGTGGTTAAGTGTGTGGACTCTAATCTGGGAGAACCGGGTTTGATCCCCTGGAGCAGGGGGCTCTGTTGTGGCCCCTCCCGCGACTGGCAATGCAGGGGGGTGCCCACTTCTTGCCCCAAAGCTGGAGCGGTTTGAGAGAAGGAACATGGCCACCATGTTCCTGTTAGCTGCTGCCTCCCGTTCTTTTTATTTATATATTTAAGGCATTTGGACTAGAACAGCAGCGAAAGAAAGAAAATAGAGGAAGGCATCAAACAGGCATTTGCAAGCTTCCACGCCCCCCAAACAGAGAGTGAGAGCGGAGAAAAGTCAGAACAAAACGGACAATGTTTGGTAAAGATTTCTACAGAACAACAGGAAAAGGGAATTATAGCGACTCAAAAACGGGAAGAAAAGAAAACCAGAAAGATTCACGTGAGGAGAGAGGTAATAAGAGGAATACAAAGATCTCCCACCAAAAGGAAGGGAAATGGGAAAAGAAAGAGACTAGAGAGAGTCGGCAGGAAGAGGAAAAAGAACAACGTAAGAGGGAGAGAGGATTTTTGGAGTGGCAGGGAGAAAGGATTAAAAATGACCTGTTGCCTCTACAAGGAGAGAAAACATTTGGACATGGTCCTATGGAA